CCGTCCCTATTTACCCCTACATTCTTTTCGCACTTTTACTATCCATTTTAACCTACCACTACATGAAATAAGGAGTCCAAAATTTTCTTCTTTAAAATCGTGGACTCAAAATATTAATCACTCCAAATAGTCTAACATCAATCTACAACCAGCCTGATTTATATGATAAACTGTCACACTTCTCAATAACGGTGACTATTGTATAGTATCAAATTCCAAGTTAACATAACTCATTAACTCCACCATTTTTCCTTAAGCACTCAACGCTTCTCGAATTCCCAGGGTTTCACGGTTCATATCTTCTCAAAGTTTGTGCTACCCTCCTACAAGTAACAAAACTATGGGGTAGAGATGTTGGACCTTCACCACAATTCCACAAAGGGACGAAGGTTCGGTACCTCCGCTCTCCTCTCCCTTAATCTATAATAGTAGGTAAAATTCTAGTACATAGTTGTCAAAAGATCAATTTTAGTTTAGTACTTATACATAAATTCCACATTCATTTCCACCCCATCCACCCTCCCAACTCAATTTCCCCAACCAAAAATCGGTAACAACTCCTCATCGAAAAGCTCCAACTGATCTTCCTCTCAAGTCCATACAATGTTTTTCTAGAACTATCCTCTGACTCATTGGAATTCTCTCCACCAATTTCCAATCCCTAGACTCTAGCTGGTCACGTAGAAGATGACCATCCCACAGATGTTTCCCCATACGAAATGCCCTACAACATAACACTGTTCCGACCCCTAAAAGGAGATAGTTGTACTTCCTATTCCTCAGGGACCCCTAAAAGGAGATAGTTGTACTTCCTATTCCTCAGGGGCGGATCGTAGTAGAGACCCGGGGCAGTCGCCCCTCCAACAATTCTTTTTTGGTGTATATATATATCAAAAAATAATTTTCGCCCTCCCAAAAAATATTTTTTTTAAGTTGACGTTTTCCCTAGATAAACTTCCTGGGTCCGCCCTTGCTATTCCTCATGACATGGCAGCCATGGGTGTACCCACAAACTGGCTGATTTACCATCTCCAATGCGTTATTGTAACAAGTATGGAGAGCCAATTTCCCCTCTCAAATACTTCTCCAAATAAAAGACACATTATTTCCTCGGGTAGAGTTCAAAAAAGAAGTTCTGGGAAATTACATCGCCTTGAATATCCTCGTACTACACCTAACGATTGTTGCTTTGTCACGATTCGCCAAACTTACATGGCTAAGATAGTTAGATTGAGCTCACTAGCCCTCCGATAACCTAATACACCCTTACCTTTTGAAGAGGAAAGCGTCCCCCAATCAATCCAACGTATACCTAGATCTTATCGCACACTCATTCTACCAAAACTCATTCATCAGTGTTTCCAATTCCAAACAAAGCTCCTTTAATATATAATAATAAACTCTTAAACTATACAACATTACAAAGTCTTATTTATATAAGTTCCAATCAGAATCATTTATGACTTTAACTATACTTTCACAAACTAGACTAGATTGTAGTAAATCAGATCAAGCATGATCAAATTTAAAATGATCAAATAAGGCACTAACAAGCCTAAAGAGATTAGACCCGAACTAATCTCACCAATATAAGAAAATAAAGAAATACTCTCTCCGTCCCCCAATTAAGTTCTCACTTTCCTTTTTGGGCAGTCCCTAAATTAAATTCACACTTCAATACTTTCCTTTTTGGCAAATTATCTACATCAAAATAATGTCAAACAGTGCCAAACATTGTCCAAATAGTGTCAAACAGTGTTTGAACAATGCAAAATAGTGCACTCCACAATAAAGTCAAATTTATTTTTTAATATGTGTGAAGTCAAATCGGGAACTTAATTGGGGGACAGAGGGAGTACACATAATACTGTACTTTATTAAACTAAATTAGAATGGGATTGAAATCTCAATCCAAATGAAAACGTTCTTATTAGTCAATCCAATTGAAATTAATTCAAAATTAAACTGAAAAAGAAAGTGTGAATAACACTCTAATTCAAGATTCGGAAAAATATAATTTGAAAATACAACCAAAATGTTTTAACTCCATTGCTAGTGAGAAGACAGAACAGAGGTTGAGAGGATGAAAATAGGGTGAAGACGGGGGAGTACAAATGAGGTGAGCAAAATAAGTACTCCGTATGAGGTAGCGAAGGAAAAATGAAGCAATGAAATTAAAAGATAGGGTGAGAGAAATATAAGTGGAGATGACTTTGCACGGAATAATGAGAAAGTGTGGAAAAAGGTAGTGGGAAGGGAGTAAAGTTGCAAATTAACAAAAAAAAAAAACATCCAGAGTTTTAAACTTCTCTTTTTAGAATACTCGTATATTGAGTTTACGCACTTTCACTTTGATAAATTTTTTCTTTGGAATAATCAATAATCCTCTTTTTTACCTTTTATCTTCTATTTCATTTCTTTCTACCTTTGCACTAGGTTTGTACAATATTCATCGTCTCTTCTATTTCCTCATTAAATAAAATGCCAAAGCTCATTATATGACAAAATGGAAAATAACTTTCACTTTGAGAAAGCTTGAAATATGAAAACGAAACTTTTTTCCAAATGAAACTTTTTAGAGTATTTTTAATGGTTAGCTCGTTATTCTTGCGGTTCGGCTTGCCACATCACCGTTTTTAGTAAAATTATTTTCAAAATAAAGGTACTTCAATAATTAGCTACAACTTATTCTTCTCCATTTATTATTAATAACACTATTTTCCGTATTTTTTTGAACAAAAACTAGCCTCTGTTCATATCATAAGTTTCAGGATCATTACATCAATCAAAAGAAAAATAAAACTGACACCAACTAGACTCCAACAACTACAACCAGGGGCGGATCTAGCCCATGGCCAGGGTGGGCCTAGGCCCATGCTAAAAAAAAAGGTAATGTCAATTTGTGAACATCAGTCAAGTTGGTCCAATGGAAGCACACTAATTATGCAATAAAAGTAATCAGGTTCGAGTCCCCTGGGCACCATATTTATAATTTTTCAATGCAACATGAGTAATTTTTTTGATACACTTCCAAATTGTTGGACTTTTGGTAACTGGTATGCAAAATTAGTTCAAATCATTTGGCTTTTGAATATTAGCTTGAAAAATTATTTAATTCGATTCATTAGAATTTCGAATATTAGTCTAAAAAATTAATTAGTTCACATCATTGGACAATTGAATATTGATTTGAAAAATTAATAAGTTCAATTCATTCTGCTTGGTAGGTTAAATTTAATTAGTTTACTTTTTTACATAGAGCAAAGACTATAAAGTATGGAGTCAAAAGAAATTGAATTTCAAGAAATTAATTTGAAAATTGGTATTGAACATGTCATTAACCGACGCGAGCCAATTTCGGTTAGATATCTATGGCTCTTTTAAGATAATTAAATTTTCGATTTTGTAATATTTATTATTTTTTCTTTGACACTTCTACAAAATTATGTAACTAAATTTTGTAATTGTAACATTTTTTGCAAAATAAATTATGTATCGCTAATTAAAATTTGGCCCCATCTCAACGTAAATGCTACATCCGCCCCTGAGTCTACAACTATAAACCATATGATGAGCCTTAGAAACAGTCATCCCTGAAAGAGCAACACGAATCGCTAACTATGTAACGGGTTTGACACAGCCAAACATATTCCCATAGATCCAAACATGCTCAATGACATAAAACAAGGCTAAATTCCCAAACAAACTAACAAACCTAACAACATAGATGATAACAAGAAACCAAGTGACAAAATAATGAAAACTTATTGGAAAACTTTCACGGAATCTAGCATCTCGCACAACCCATGGTGGTGGTTCTGGAGGAGGTCGTATCCTTGGTACCACTCTAAATGACCCTCCATTGTCAATCATCATCTGGCCTGCTCGAAATCCGTACAACTCTCCTCGTCCCGTGCTCATAGCAAATCCACCACTAGCGGTCATCTTCATCGCTGTCATGCCCTTGTTGCCCTGCTCACGAAGAAATCGATCGTCAAACTCTAGCTTCGATGTTGTCAAGCTTGGACAAAGATTCTTGTCAATCTGCCTCAAATCCAATCCCAACGCCGGACACAAATGAAGGGGATACACCGGCCGGAAGAACCAAACTTTAGATCTGCCAAGGAAAAACCAAACCCTGAACCTGCTAGGGAGAAACCGCTTCGGAGTATATGCTGATTACATCCGCCTTGCTAGGAGTTTTGAATTCTGGTAGAGGGAATACAGGAGCCTCAAGATCGATGACGAGAGGCGCAATGATGAGTCTACCACTGTAAACTTATTTTCCGTATTTAATAATTCTCTTCTCTTAAGGATGTTTTCTTTGGACTGAAATTTGCTGGTCTGATCTGGTCTAGTCTGGTTTGAACTAGTCTGGTCTGGTCTGGTCTGGTAAACGTCTGGTCTCTTTGTACTTCATATTTTATAACTATGGAAGTCTGGTTTGGTCTGATCGGGTATGACCTAGTCTGGTCTTATTTGGTCTGGCATGAGCTGGTTTGGGACTCAAAATTATTCTAAAAAAACATCCTAAGTTAGTAACTTTTTTTGACTAATTAGCCTTTTCAAACAGAAAGAGAAGAAATGCTTCAATAATTAGGTGTTTGTTTTAAAATTACAAGTAAATCGTCCAAATCTATCGTTGGAGATGCTCAAATTATATTGTAAAAAATGTTATATTTCGCCTCAAAATATATCAAGTAGGAATGTACTTCCTCCGTTCTTAAATAAATGCAACGGTCAACATTTCACATTTGCCGAGGCACAACTTTGACCATTAATATATATAATTCCCGATTAGTAAAAAAAGTTTAAAAAATAGATTTTGAAAATTTATAATGAGAAAATTTTAATAATATATTTTTCAAAAATATATATTATTACATTAATAAATAAAACGTAGTCAAAGTAGAACATGTGAATAGTGCAAAAAGTCCAACGTTGCATTTAAAAGAGAACGGATAGTATATCATAAATGTGCATTACAAATGTGCGCCAAGCCCCATTCACGTATATAGACGGGTTCACATGCTTTTGCTTCTCCTCTGCTCCTTCCATGACTTGTATTTAGGAAATTTCAGACCGGTCCTTGAATTCAGTCAACCTCTGATTCTGTTTGGCTTCGCCGGAGAAGAAGTGACCGGCGTCCGGCTCGATGACGCCGGGGACGAGGCTGCCGTCGTGGAAGGAGAGAGAGAACAACAAGCGGCGGGAGCGGCGGAGAAGGGCGATCGCCGCCAAGATCTTCGCCGGACTACGAATGTACGGCAATTACAAGCTCCCCAAGCACTGCGATAACAACGAGGTCCTTAAAGCTCTCTGTAAGGAAGCCGGTTGGATCGTCGAAGACGACGGAACTACTTACAGAAAGGCAAGTTATTCAATTCCATTCCATACATTATTAAGCGTATCCGTTTATTCAGTAAAATGGTGTGAAATCTATATATTCTCTGGTTTATTCATGGCGGGCGTGAATTAAGAAGAATCACTTGCGATCTATGTAGGGCTGGGACTTTGGAACCAAGAACCGGAGAACCGAACCGGACCGAACCGTTATGACCCGGTTCGGTTCGGTTCCAACATTTATTAGTTATTTGTTAACGGTTCGGTTCCTAATTTTTATTAACGGTTCGGTTCTCGGTTCCTGAAAAAAATATGTACCAAGAACCGTTAAGGAACCGTTATATATAATAATTAAAATTAAATATATTTTTTATGAATATATATATTGTAATGTATATTTACTTGTTTATTTTTATATTATATTCATTATTTTAGTTTAGTTATTTAACTATTTAAAACTATTATTTATTTCAACCGGTTCTCTTAGGCTTCTTAGGCCTCTCATTAGGTCCAAACTCCAGCTGGTCGGAACTCGGAAGGTCCAGAGTATTTAAAATTATTATTCTCTTTAACTGGTTCAGCATATATGTATTGAGATTTCCAACGTCGAATGTCTTTTTGACAAAAATTTAGTCGTGATTTGAAAGAATTTTTTCAAAGACTAGGAACCGTTAAATGACAAGAACCGAACCGTTAAGAACGGTTTGATTCCTTATCGGTTCTTTAAAATCATTTATAAGAACCGAACCGTTAGTAAAATTTCATATTTTCAAACGGTTCCACATATTTTGCCTAGGAACCGAACCGGTCCCAGGCTTAGATCTATGCTTATTGTTCTGCAGGGTTTAATGCAATAAACACCCCTATAATATACAAATTCGGCGCATTAACCCATGTGATTTAAAAAATGAGTCAAATTCTCTTGCGTTTTAATTAATCGTACGCAAAATCTCTTCTATTAACAAATTTAATTACGAAAAGTGATTTTCAAATCATTAAATTTATTTATAAATGAAGTTTTGTGCATGATTAATTAAAACACAAGGGGGTTTGACGTATTTTTTTAATCACAAGTTGAATTTCTATATCACATATCACGAAGGGATTTGGTGCATTAAACTATTGCTCTGCCCATCGATTCTGACGCAAATTGATTGCTAAAATGCGCTTGATAGCGAGTGCATGTTAGCATGGTGACGAATGCTCCGGTAGAATATTGGTTTTTGTAGTTGATAAGAACCTGGCCAATAAAAAATAAAAGTAATTTATTAGTTCATGGCTTCATGCTCATGTTACTCCTGTAAATCACTATATTGACACTTCATTTGTCCCGAAATTAAGTTTGATGTTTGATTTTATGAGTTTTTAGGTAGACTAGAAAATAGAATTGGCTTTCCAAAAACGGTCTCACGTTATTAAAAGATATACTCACTCCGTACTTTAAAATTTCATACACTTTTCATTTTGTGATGTACTCCCGCAAAGAAGTTTTCGTTTTCCTTTTTAGTAGTCCCAAAAAGTTCTCTTTCTCTAAATGGAAAGCTATTTTATATCAAAACAGTGTAATACAGTGTCAAACAGTGACAAATTGTGTCGAAACAGTAAAATTTATCTCTTGGTAAGTTTATTTCCTTAATATGTGTGTATGTCAAACCGGGAACATCTTTGCGGGACGGAGGGAGTCTTTAAAAGTTCCATACATTTTTTCTTTTTGGTAAGTCTTTCCTTCAAAAATACTTAATTATTCTTACTTTTTGTACTTTTTATCTTCTCTTTTCTATTCATCCTCTCTTAAATCTTGTGTCATAACCTAACGTATGAATCTTTTAAATACGGAGGGAGTAGCGCTCAAATGAGTATAATAATCGATGTAAATGAATAGTGAAATATGATAACACACATCAATTCAATAAAATGATTGGCACATAAAATGGTAAATAGATAATAAAAGCTTATCAAATACTACCTCCGGTTTTTTTTAATCTTCACAGTTTGACTTCACACAAAATAAAGAAAGAAATTTGACTTTACTGTAGAGTACACTGTTGAGGCACTGTTTGACACTGTTTGGCACTGTAGACATACTGTTTGGCACTGTTGAGACACTGTTTGACAATGTTTGGCACTGTTTTGATGTAGATATCTTTGCCAAAAAGGAAATAAGGAAGTGTGAAATTTATTTTAGACCGTCCTAAAAAGGAAAATGTGAAGTTTATTAAAAACCGGAGGGAGTATAGAAAGATGTTGAAATAAGAACTTTATATATTAGAATAACATCTCGAAAGGGAAAGGTGAAATTTAGTTACCTGGAATAGAATTTTGGTTCATTCTTGGTATTTTGGTGCGGCTAATGTCTATCTTTCTCTATTTCTTTTTGGGAACCGAGTTTCTGTTTAAATTATTAGGGAGTATATAAAAGTGCACAAATATGTGTAAGTTTTATTCAGAGTTTTTATCTCAATAAAATTTCCTCAAATATTCATGCATATAATTAAAATAATATATGGAGATGGAGCATACTTCGTATTTAGTTCTATTTAATAAAGTTTCCCTGTTGTATTACCCTTTTAGCTTCCAAAATTCATCATAGCTATAAATTGAGGAGTCTATTCTCATATATATATATATAGACGGCTGAGATTATTTTGTACTGGATTCCAGGCGCACGTTTATGTAATTATGCTGATGAAATTTCACTTGTGCACGATAGATTGCTTTAGGGCCTTTAGGCTGATCATGTTTCACTTTGTGCACAACTACCGATGAATTCTCCGTTTCGCATTCTTCGCGCTGTACGTTTTTTCACCTCGGGTTGCCTGTGGGCTCGCGGTCTTAGATGTCCGAATATGAGTATGTTTGAGCTAATGGGTATGTTTGGCAAATGGCTGATAGCTATTGTTGTTAGCTGGTTGTGTCAGCTGTTTCCTAACAGCTGGTTGTGTTAGCTGTTTTGACCGGCTGGTTATGTTAGCTGATTATAGATAATTGTTTGGTAAAATTGGTTGTTTCGAAATGGCTGATAGAGTGTAAATTGAACTAGCCGAATGAAGAAGCTGCTCCCCTTAGCTTCTTCAACAATCCATTTTTTCGGCTTTTCAAACTCAACAAGCTAATTTTAAAAGCCATTTACCAAACATCATTATTAGCTTCTTTGACCAATCAAACAGCTGAAATGGGTCAAACAAGCTAAAAGCCGGCTGATAAGCCATTTGCCAAACATACCCAATAACTCAGGAATTTGTGCAAGTTAAATAATTTGGGCTCGAATTCAAGCATAATTCAATCTCAGTTCGAGTCCAGGTCTAGTTTTGCTAATTATAGAGTAATTTTTATAGAATTGAACTCGAATAAAATGTTCAAACTCAAGCTAAAAATATAATATGTGTACTTATTCATTCCCAGTTTTAGTTTATCTATCCTTTAATGACATTTTTATTATTTATTTTACTATCATTAAATATTACAAGTACATATTATAATGGGAAAATGGAAACTAATAATCCAACCTTTTAGCGGTCTTATTTTAATAGTTCCACCTTTTCGTTATTTATGAATAATCCAACCTTTGCACCTCATCTTCATTCACTAGTCCCTGACCAGTTGATGACCTGCTATTCCAAGTTATTTTCTTATCTTTGTCAAATATTATCTTTGTGAAATGTGGAATTTATGGTATAATAGTTTGGAGAGATAAGAAAATAACTCGGAATAGCAGGTCATCAACCGGTCGGGGACCAATGAATGAAGATGAAGTGCAAAGGTTGAATTATTCATGAATAACAAAAAGGTGGGACTATTAAAAGAAGACTGCTAAAAGGTTGGTTGGATTATTAGTTTCCATTTTCCCTGTTATAATTATTACAGATTATGATTATAATAATAATACGTACACGTTATTTTTTGTAATTATGACTAGTATAATATACTCTATGATAAGTATTGAAAATGGAATAGTACTAAATTACTCCGTAGAATGCATGTTCCAAAAAAGGTATATATAATTATTACATATATAATTACTAGTATTGCATATGTAGTATAAAATATGACACAAAGGCTCGTGAACTGGCTCGCGGGTCACGACCCTAAAATAAATAGGTTTGAACTGAGCTTGTTAACTATTCGAGTTGAGTCGAACCAAAGTCGAGTTTGAATATAACCAAACTCAAGTCGAGTTTTTCTCGAAGGATTCGCGCGCAGTTCGCGAGTGGCTTGACTTATTTACACTCCTATCGGGGATACCTTATGAAGGGTGTGCCACAAAAGAAAATGTTTGGGGTTCAACTTCAAACAATAATTTGGAATCAAAGTTTAAACTACTCTCTTTTAGTCCATTTTTCTTACTAATTTACGTGATGAGAAATAAACACCAGGCAAACACCAAGGCTACCCGCAGAATATAAGATATACAGTAATCGTTAACAAAGAAATATACAGCACAAAAAAATTGTGAATACTGAGTGAATGATTTTTTCATGTTTGGAAATAAAAGAAATAAAAAAATAGAACTAAAAATAGAGACGGGAAGGCCGTTGAATTTGCTGCTCGTCGCCACCAACCTCTCAACTTTTGCACATTTTAATGTGCAAAAGTTGATCATTGATTCAAAAAAGGTGGAATCTCCCACCCCGGACCCCCCACATCTTGACCTGACAGGGCACATGGACGGATGTAAATCACAGTGTGCACTAGAGGTTCATATACTCGTGTGCACTAGAGGTTCATATACTCGTGTGCACTAGAGGTCCATATACCTGGTCGCTGCAGGATTCCAACTTTGGTCTCTTGTTCCAAATTTCACACCATTCAACCAAATGAGCTACCTGTGCGGTGCATAAAATCGATCATTATTTGTATGCTCCGAGTATCCTACATTTGTACTACCTCTGTCTTAGTGGACTTTGCCAAGTGCAAAGTAGGTGAGAAATAAGAATTGTAAAAACTGTGTGGTTGAAATTTGTGCAGAGGAGAGAGAAATGTGCAGAACTACAAATTAGTTGCTTTAATAAGAAAGTGACAAAGTTTTTT